TGAAGGCTGGTCCGGAGCATACTTTAGCCTGCAAGAGTTCCCTTTATCATTTTGTGGGACGACGAGGGAGGCCTGCGGGTAGGTCGATGTCTTTTGTGCCATAAAAGCCCTAAGCGCGTCTTCCTTTTCCGCCATCTGGACCCCATGTCCCCGATTATAAGGAACCCCTACTCGAAAAAATCGGAACCCCCCCCCCCCCCCCCACCCCCCCCCTCGCGAATATGGAACCCCCTCAACCTGCGAACGTGGAATCCACTGAGAAACCTACTAAATCCAATGGTAATTTTGTTATATTAATCAATTCAAATGACCTAGCTAACTAATTTATTCTCTAGTTCATACAAAAATGTCAAGAAAACGAAAACGGCCTATTGAAGAGGTTATTGCAGAACTTCCACCTCTAGAATCAGTGAAATTCCATCCAATACTGCCTGCCTCACGAGATCCAATTCTTAATATTCCAGCGAATATCAATATTAGCAGTCCTTATGCCTTATTTACTCTATTCTTCTCTGAGGAAAGCCTTCAAAATATCAGTGATTCTACTAATCTCTATGCAAAACTAAAGAAAAATGCTAGAGATACTGATGATGAAGCTCCAGAGCTTTCAGAAATAGAGGAGAATGAGGAAGCTCAAGATATAGAGATTTCTGAAATTTCTATATTCTCAAAGCCTTCTATCCAACAATATTCATGGAAAAATACCAATCCAGTGGAGATAAAGGTCTTTATAGGCATTCTTCTCTATATGGAGGTTCATAAATCCCATTGAACTGATCTATACTGGCGGAATGATCTGAAACAGGGCTCTATTCATTCTGTTCAATCCTATATGACCCATACGCGTTTTAAACAACTTAAACGATATATCCATATATCTAACTCCCGTGAAGTCCGCCGCCCGGGGGCCAAAAATAAGGTTGATTGGTGGTATAAGGTAGAGCCGTTGGCTACTGAGTTCCATATGGCATGCCGAAAATACTACACCCCTGGCTCCAAGATTTCTATTGATGAGATCATGGTTAAATGCTTTGGACGGAGTCAACATACATACAAGATGCCTAATAAACCAATTCCTCGGGGATATAAGATATTTGGCCTAGCAGAACATGGCTATTTATGGACTTTTTTCTGGTCTAGCCGCCGGCAGGGTATAATGCCTATGTTTCAATTCCCTACATTAACAAAAACCGGATCTATGGTGGTGAATCTGGTGAACCGGCTTCCTACGGTATCCACGCTGAATACGCCGAATGCCACGCCGAATGCCACCCCTAATACCGACCCTAACATCACCCCTAATATCACCCCTAATATCAACCCGAATACCACGCCGAATATCAACCCCCCGAATGCCACGCCGAATGCCACCCCTAATCAAATCTCTATCGCACAGCCGGTCACATCCTATTCAATTTATATGGATAACTACTTTACATCAGTTCCTCTATTCAAAGAACTACGTCAACAGGGGTATGGAGCATGTGGAACCACTCGTCCAAACCAGGTTCCAGCAGTACTAGGCGAGCTTCGAGAGCATTCAAATTCCATACCCTGGAATACCCTGCATGCCATTGAAAAAGAGAATGTTCTCTGTCTTGCCTGGCAAGATAATAATATGGTATTGGCACTAACTACGATTCATTCATTGGACGCAGTTATTGAATGTACTCATAAATGCCCAGGGGAACTCTCAACCAATGCCAATATTGTTAGAAAAGTCTTTGAAGATCAACCACAAAAGAAGCTGAAAATCCCATTGATTATAGATGATTATAATCATCATATGAATGGGGTAGACCTAGCAAATCAATACCAGGCAGCATATACTAGTCATAGAGTCACCTATCACACCTGGCTTTCTATTCTCTACTGGCTTATCGATTCCGCGGCTGTCAATGCATACCGGCTTCAATATATATATATGAAGCAGCAAGGGATTCCGGCAACGTATGTTCCTTCTCATATAAGCTTTCATGAGAAGCTTTATCAACAGCTCTT